TATTTCCCTCTTTTTTTAATTAAAAAACTAGAACTTGTAAAACCAAAAAACAACCCATCCTCCTTTTATTATCTCTCAGCCCTTTGAGTGCATAGTTTGTAGAGAGCTGTACAGCTAACCCAAAGGTAAGAACATCTCTGACACTTTGAACCCACCAGCACCTCCAAGGTAGAAAGATGGGCAATTCTCTCCCATAGGATTTACAGTCTCCAGAAAACCATGGAAGGGTTAGCTATGAGCTGGTTCTGGCTCAACAACGATAGTCACAGTGAAGGCCCCATTCCACCCTTACCTTACCTTCTTAATTAAGAAGAATAAAGGGCCATAGCATATTTTCACTTTTGTATGGCAATATTTACAAGAGTCAAAGTAGGTTATGTTTCCAAAAGTTGTTGGGATATGAAACAGTTATTTTAAATAAACTTTGTTTACATACCCTAGAGTTAGTTTATCAGTGATGTTGTTCTTGTGTTGTTACGTGTCATCAAGTCGCCTGCAACCCATAACAATCCTATGTACATCAACTCTGAACCCTGCCCTCTCCTGAGACAATCTCATCCTCTCAGACAAACCTAATTCCATTTCTCCAGTCACTAGGTCAATATTATTCACAGCTATGCAATAATGGTTCATATAAATTCTTAGGATTCCATAGGTATCATGTATCACAAAGGAAGATCAAGGCAGGCTGGCAAGTACTATTATTTGTTGAGTCAAATTTATAACTGTGTGGTCCTGGTTTGAGGTCTAGGAAGTTTTCCCAATAAATTGACTCTTGGAGAAATACTCAAGCTAAATTTTTTATTAGTTCCAAGACTTTTGCTACTCAGTATAATAGCTATAAACACACTCACCATTTGAAAAGTGCTGAGTACGTAGTGAGATGTGCTTTAAGTATGAAATCAACAATAGAGGCTGAAGAAAATAGAGAATATAGACTATATTATTAATAATTTTACATTGATATTGGTTAAATGTTAAAAATATAATAAGGATATATTGGATTAAGTGAAATGTGTTCAAATTTATTTCATCTGTGTTCAAATCTACACATGTAATTCACATTTGGGGTTCAAAGTATATTTCTGTTGAACAATGGTGGTCTAAATCACTGTCTTCTTAAATATAGGAAACACTCTTGCTTTGCACAATATTCTAACCATCTAGTATAAATGATCAATAAATGCATTTAGTGCATACTTTATTTAGGAATGCTTAATATTGCTGGAAACACTCTGTAAAAGCTTTACAGCCTTATCCCTCAACTTTTTTATTGCAAACTGATCATTTCCTTCTATGTTGTTCTAGTATTTATCAGGTTTAGATTTGTTTCATTATTTTATAGTATAAATTATGCTTATATATCAATACTTGATTACTTTAATTCTAGTCCCTTGACTAAGTAATAAGTTGAGTACTTTCTTGTCAACCCAACATTATTGTTAATCTCTTTGAAAGCTCAAATTACAGTTCAAAATCTCCTTCTTTACAAGATACTAAACAGGAAAATTCCAATGAGAGACACTTGTTCAAGAATAGACAGAAGAAGAGGAGATCATTATTTTCTCAAAGTTAGTTTCAAGGAGATAGATCAGCAGATGGAGGTACAGAGCTGTTTGCAGAAAATTTCTTGAGGAATATCTATATTATCAACTGAGATATTTTGAGTAGGGGTGGAACTGCTTTGAAATTAATGAAATTTGTGGGTTTTGGCCCTAAAAACTCCAGCAGTAGCCCTAGTAAATTTGTTATTATTTTTAGATTGGTGGTGTTGTGTACCAGAGTCTGAATCGATCCATAGCTGACCCTCTGGTGGGTATTCAGAGGCAGATTCTCCACAAAGCAGTTGGTGGTCCGGAACCCCTTCAGGATTGCAGAGCAGCTTTCTGCCACTAGGCCACAAGAGCTCCCTATTTTACACACACACACACACACACACACACACACTTAATATCATGAAATTAACAGATATATACACACACACTAGATTAAACTTTTAAAGAGGGTTTTCCCTAATTCATCTAAACTTTAAGTCTTATGAAACCTGGACCAAGGCATGAAAAACTGGGAGGTTCCCAGAGATCCTGTGATTCCAACGTGATTTTCATAACTTTAGAACAATCATCATTCTGGGGTTTTCAATAGTACTGCTCTGATTTTCTCTACTTCGACCTGGTCGAGCAGTTACAGAAGCTCTAACCCTCTCATATTTGGAACAGAGTGGCTTTTGTTTCATGACCACATTAGTCATTGCTTAAAAAAAAATTATGGCTGTTAACAATTAATGATTCTTTTTTTGGTCCACTTAATTCCAAATTTAAGAACTGGTATTTTCTTACAGTAGAAAGTATGATGATTTCGGAGGCAGGGGAAATGTAGGAGTTGGTGGTGAAGATTATCTAACATTACAACAAAACCAGCTTAGAGGCTGGAAGAGATGGGATGAAAAGGATGAATACTATTATAATGGAGCGGTTGTAATTAATGTCATATGTGTATGAATGGTTGCATGGAAAAGGCAATTTATAAATTTTAAATTCAATCAAAATAAAAAGTTAAGAAATCTTAGAGCAATTTCTACCTTCATCAATATTGGTTGATCATAATCTAAGTTTTTTTATCATAATCTAAGATTTTGATGCATGGGGTTGCTTACTATATATGTATTAATTATTATATTATTATAATTAATAGAATAATTGATAATTAATATAATTAATTCTATTAATTATTATATGTATTAATTATGCTTACTATATATGCATTAATTGGTATAGGAATTAATGTGTGAGTTAAAAGAATGGATGAATTTATCTGTATCTGAATCCAAATGGCTCTCTGGTCATGAGTACTATAATATAGATTATTCCAATTACTTTTTTAGGTGTATTTGGAAGAGTACCAAGAATTCCCAGATAGTATTTTATAATAAAAATATTGAACAGTAATGGAAGCCATTCAAGGATATATTTGTTCTGTAATAATCTTAAAATCTTCCACAGATTGGAAACCATACCTACTAGATATAAGTTACTGTATGAAAACTAATATATATACCAAAACATGCTTGATTTTTAGGTATGACTAATAAGTCCTTTCATTTCTTTTCTTACAATCAAATTATTGATAGTAAATAGCAATGAGAATCATATTGTTTTATAAGAAATCCAATTCTTAATCTTCATTAGGAAACCATGGTTACGAGTTCATTTTCATTAAGACCTGAATCTTGAAATTAGGAAGCTTTAGGGAGTTATATTGCTAATCTAAAGTCAGCTTATTTGAATCCACCACCAGCTCTCCCCTCAGCAGGAGAAAGATGGGTAATTTCCTCCTGTGCAGTGTACAACCTCTGAAAATCCTGCCTGAGGGCCAACTATGAGTGGGCTCTGATTCAGTCAATGAGAGAATAATCTTTGAAGATAAAATATAATCATTCTTAGAATTAGACTTGCAGAGGCTGTTACAGTAATTACATTATAGTGTATATTGAAGTAAAACTAAAATAAGAAGTAAATCTTTAGGAGCTTGTAGATTAAGTACATGGAAAAATAAAAGAAAAAAACCATCTCTGTATTTTGCTAAATTTTTGTAATAATTTTTTTAATTTGGATTTTTTTTCCCCATGGCATAAGAAAGTAAGACTGCCAAGGAGTGTCATCATAACTCATAATATGTAGATTAGGTAGTTTTGGAGAGTTTGGTAATTTTTAAAATTTATTTTAGCTCTGTGCTAGGCAGGGTACGAAGTAGTGGGGCTACAAAGATGACCTGGATTAGTTTGCTACCCTCTTGAAAGTGGGAAGGTAACCAGGTGAACAGGTAGAGTTCAGGAAGGAAAAAAATAAATAAATAAATGCTTTAGAAGGAACAGAGAACATGGCACAAATAAAGAACCAATAATTCCGTGTATTTTCTAGACCAGACTCTGGAGTTATGTATGCTAATCTCATCTACTCCTCACTGCATCTCCTAAAGGTGAAAATACATTAATACTGAATTTTTTAACTCCCATAATACAAAGCAGAACCAACACTAAATTGGTCTTGCTCCTAGAAGCAGAGTAACACCGCCTAGCAGTCTAATGAATTCAGGTTGTCCCTGTATACAAGTCACAATCCCTCTGGACATGTGTTTAGCACAGTCCAGACTATTCTCTACAGGCGACGTGGGCTCTTTAAAATGAGGAAAATGTTAAGTGTTCTGTTTCTCTATATTTTTCATCCCTGAGGCTAAGAGGGCTCAGTTGCTCAAATTTTCACACAGAGTCAGCTGGGGAAGGTAAGATGTAGATTGACGGATTTCCTAAACTAATAATAAATCTTGGCTGCTCCTCACACGCTCATGTAAAATTGGTGTAACCTCTGACATTTGCATTCATTCTTTAAAGTCTGGGCTCTCATTTTCTCACCTGTGGCTTATAGATTCAATTATCTGTAAATTATCTCTCGGGCACCAATTAAAAATTTAAAGTTGCATTTCACTTCTTCATTGCTATCTCACAAAATTCGTAGTGCTTGATAACTGTTGAATGAATAACTATGCAGGACTTAAATATTAGAGTGAAGCGCCACGTAATTCGGAAGTCCCTTTGTACCTTTCCAGAGTCAGTGTCAGGTGTCAAGAGGTCCTGAGAGATGCCCCGCTCCTGCAAAGGGACAGCAGTACGTGTTTCTCTGAATTGCAACAGTTTGCAATCTCAGACTTTTGCTCTCCAACTCGGCCTCTGCGCTCCCATCGCGGGTGGGTTGGCGAGGTGGAAAGGGCACCGGGCGCCTTTAAATGCTAATGAGAGTCGGTGCCCAACTCGGGAGCCAAGTTTCCCCACCCTCTTCCCTCGCCCGCCCTTCCCTCCCAGGCCGGTGAGCCGCCTAGAAAAACTTGTGCGGGGCCATTTTTGGGGCAGTAAGATCGAGCGAGGAGCCCGAGAGCCAGGGCGCAGCCCCAGAGCTCGAGCCGCCTCCGCCGAGAGACCCCACCTCGGCCGCCGCCGCCTGCGCTGCGAGATCCCCACCGGCCTCCCGGAGAACGAGCCCCGGTCGCCGCGACCACCAGCCGCGCTAACCGCCGACCAACCGCCACCGAGGTGCCCGAGTGAGAGCAGAGGAGGCGGCATGAGCGAGGCGGGCGAGGCCACCACCACCCTGCCGCAGGCTCCGGCGGAGGCGGCCGCCGCGGCCCCCTTGGACGCTGCGCCCAAGAGCCCGGGGGGCAGCGGCGCGCCCCAGGCCGCAACCCCAGCGCCCACCGCCCTTGTCGCAGGAAACCCCGGTGGGGACGCGACCCCTGCAGCCACGGACACCTCGCCACCCGCCCCTGCAGCCACCGCCGGCAGCGAAGACGCGGAGAAAAAAGTTCTCGGTGAGTCACACGCGGGAGGGGCAAGGGCGGGCGGCGCGGAGCACATGTGCGCCACTGCCGCTGCCTTTTCTCCCCCTTGTGGGCCAGGCTGAGAAGCTGGGGGCCCCGTGGACCTCTGGTCCCCCTGCGCCCTTGGCTGCAGCCCACCTTTTCTATTGGCGCGCCCAGCTTAGCGCCGCGCCCCTTACTCCTCCGCGCCCTGTGCGCGACCCGTCTGGTCCTGGGCCAGTTAAGTTCTGGCTTCACTTCTGTCGTCCGGGAAGGCACTGTCGCTGTGGTGGGGCCCGTCCCGGTCCGAAAAGAATGGGAGCTGCGGTGTGGGACTAGGGATGCTGTGAATCTAGGGAAAGACACACACGTGGGCTAGGGTTTAGGGGAGTCTTTGCTAGGGGGCTTTTGGAGAAGGAAAGGATTTCCCCTGGGGAGGAGTGAGGCTTTAGAAGGAGACCGGGCTGGGGTGCTTGGCGAAGCTTTTTGCTGGGAAGGCTCAGGTGTCAGTCCCTGACGTCCTTCCCACATGGGCATGGGAAAGACGCCATGCTCTTGTCGGCCACATGCCGACAAAGAGATGTTGCAATCCTCTTCGGGAAATTTGCGTCTTGGTCCCACGTTCTCCGCACCTGATCTGTGCACCCCTGTGTTTGAGGGCTGTGAAGTGTCCACCAGTCACTACTCGTTTTCCCCTTCCTGGACTGTGGGAACGCACGTGGTGCAGCAGCTGAAAAAATTTCCTCCGAAATGTGGGCTAGACGTTGAAAATATCGTTACCGTGGCATTTGGTAAGGGAAACAGAAAGATGAGACGGTCAGGTTTAGGGCAGAGGATTAGAAAGGGCTTCTGTGGTGCTTGTTCTTGCCACGTATTTTGGTAGTCTCTCAAGTGTGTGAGGCCTTAAACGGGCTTGCTGAGCGTGTGGGTGGTGAATCAATTAGTTAAAGGGTGTGTGCTTATACCATTTACTCTGAAACAGGAAAGTTTAACAGGTGGGTGTAGGATGCTTTAGAGACTGTTTCAGTATTTTGGGTGGAGCATGTTTGCTAGCTATCACTAGCCCTGCCTAAATAGTAAGAAAATTGAGGGAATAACATGAAGAAAGTATTAACACATTTTAGTTTCCAGAGACCTCTATTTTCAGTGCGTTTAGTTACTGGCCAAATAGCATACTAAATATAACTTTGTGTCGACTAAGAAACAAAATAGTCCTTTTAGTGCTACACTAAAGTTGCCTAAATCTACACAGTATTGTACTGTGGCTTTGTTTCCAACAAGTGATTCTGAAAGATGCTCCAAAATAACCTTGAGTTGTTCAAAGTAGAGCTAAGATACAGTTCTAATGATTGACTTCATTTTTAATGAAGGAGCTTTTGCAGTTCCCACCTGTACCCTTATGAGATAGGGAAAACAGCTTTACATTTACAGATAAAGGAAACAGATAAAGTTTATTTTCTCAATCACCAACTGCTATTAAACTACTTCCAGTGCTATAGCCCTTCCAGGTCTCTAGTTTTCTACTGTAACTCCAGTTCTGGATGTGGACAGCTTTCTACTTGACACTTGAACATTGTTTGCTTCCATTCTGCCATCTCCTTCCTTTTGTCAAGCTAATACTTGCATCCTTAAGAGGTGCTAGCCACAGGCCTGATGGAAATGGAAGTCTGTTATTGGCTTCATCTATTCTAATACTCACAGATGGGTCTTACCTTCCATTCTAGCACATATCAAAAAGGAAAACACCATCAAAACCCATTTATTGCCTTAACAGTTGGTTCTAACTAATGGCCACTCTCCATCAGCTGTCTGGGGCTATAAATCTTACCAGGAGCAAATAGCCTTCTCTTTCTACCCAAGGGTCATTGGTAGGTGACAGACCTTTAGGCTAGTAGCCCAACACAATAATGTACTAAACCAAGGCTCTGTATTTCACACTACACTTAAGTCAGAGAATATTGTTAACATGAATGAAACAAAAGTTGGCATCAAATGAACATTAACCTCGGTTTTCATAGCATCAGTTCCAAGTCCTGGTGAACCCTATGTTTATAAAGAGCTTCAAAAAGTTTTCAGTGGCAGATTTTTTTGACGTTGATAGTTCTGAAGTTCCTGAGTACAAGTCACACACCTCCACCTTACAGATATCAACCAGCTGCCATTGATACCATTAACGACTCTTAATGAGGCTTTAAAGAAACAATAAGTGTTATTAATATGAGGCACTGAAAAATATTTATGAAATTAAGACTGGAAAATAAGAACATTTTCAACCTAGACTTAAGTTAGACTTGAAAATCAACTCTCATTCTCCCTATTACCATTATTTAGTGCTTTCTGGTTAAAATTATCCCTTAGATAACTATAATCTTAGCCATTCCTATCTCCGTATTTATTTTCTATGCTTAGTATTTGTACAAATGAAGTGAGACACTAAATCACTTGAGATAATGTGTGACTTAAAGTTAAAAGGCATTTAATATCTCAAAAACTTTTTTTCTGTGCTTTTGAGTCTGAAGTATCATCTCCCTCCCACCAACCCACCCCCTTGTCCTACTGCTCTAATTTAGAATGACCTCAAATTAAAGATTCTAATGGTATATGATCTTCCATAATTGGAACTAGAGCTGGAGAGTGCTTAGGCAATATGCAATGAATGGCTTTGCTTAGAGACATTGTTTTGTTTTACAAAGAGCTAAAATACTTCCCTAAGCATTAGCAGTCTAGCAGAACTCAGAACTAACCCTGGCTACATTGAGCAAGTTCTAATTACAATCTTAGCTCTAGATTTAAAAAGCAAAACGTTAATATTTAGGTACTTATGCTTGAAAATTATAAACTGTATGTCAAAGGCAGGCAGCTTGGCTTATTTTTTTCATCTTTTATTAAGTTTCTTGTGGCTTTTTTTAAAAAAGGTACATAGTAATGTTTCCTCTTTTATAGTCTTCATAATTTGCTTTATGCATTTCTTGAAATTTAGATTCAAATATTTCCTGGAGATACTTGTCAGCATCCACATTTTATTCAGAGGACCATTGTAGCTGAGATGGTTGGAAAAAAGTATGAGTCTACAAAGGACAAAAAATGTTCATACTATTTCTTTTGGGTTCTTTGTCTAAAAAGTTTTGTTTCAATCTGGTTCTTAAAAATTGGTCCTGTTGATGACAGGACTCAGGGACAATAAGAGGGAGATTGTCTAGAAAATGCTGAATTTGATTCCCACCAAATGTTGAGAGTAGGATACACAATGAAACAGAAGCTCACATCTATCACTGTGGTTTGAAAAGGCCTGTTACATCATGTCTCAGGTGGTAAGTACAGAACTGGATTGAGACAGCATCAGTTCTATTATTACCCTTGACTTCTCTGCTGGGCTCCCCATTTGACAACTAGACAGGTTACTTTATCCCTTTGTAGATTGGCTATTACCAAGGAGCTGCTGTATAAAGTGCCTAACACTTCAAAGTGCATGATGATGTATCTTTACTATTTACCTCCTCCATTCACCTATATTCTCTCTTCTAGTGCTCTGTGTTTTAGTAACTAAGTTTTTCTATGTTAAGGCTTGAAACATTAAAGATATTTTTTCCTTCCTTTCCATTTTAATTACTGTGGAATTATATACATTTATGACTGTTCATTTTTTTATGAACTCTCTAGAAATTTTAACAGGGAAGAGTTAGGTCTTTTCCTGCAAAGTATTAACTTATATTTTAAATTGTTCTCATTCCCCCACCCCTAATACAATTTTGGAATTATGCTTTTAATGGTTTCTTCAGGTGTGTTTGGGCTTTGAATAATGTTATCAAGACCTTAGTGATATGAGACTTATCTCTTTGTAGGTCAGAGACTAATTTATCTGCTTAATCCTATTTCAGCCACCAAAGTCCTTGGCACTGTCAAATGGTTCAACGTCAGAAATGGATATGGATTTATAAATCGGTATGTGTATCTTGACATGTTTTAAAATATGTACCTAAGTAGTAGGGTCATCAGTTAATAAGGCTTTTGCCACACTTTAATAAACTGCTTGTATAAGTCTTAAAATTTTTTAAGCACTTTAAATGTGCTTATTTATAAATAAGATGGTAGTCATTAGGCATTCTTTCTTAAAATAACCTTTCTGGAGTAGGAATAAGTAACATCATGAAATCTAGTTGTTGCATGGGGGGTAAAGGAGATAAAATTCAGAATGGAGAGGGCCTTAGTATAATTGAGATTCTATCCATAATTTCACAGATGGAGAAATGGAATCTTAGACTGGTTAAGCAACTTTGCTAAGGTCGCACAACTAATGAGTAATTGCACTGGATCTGTAACCCAGGTCACATCCACAGATCTACACATCTCCTGTGTAGAAATAGTGGTTTTTTCTTGAAAAGCCATAGTAATATTTAATCCTATAGAAATGAGAATACAACAGCACATTGCTGGGAGCACTATGAATGCTTTTAGATGACATCACCATTTTCTTTGTTGTTTTTGTTTTCTTACTTAAAAAAATCCTCTAGTGTATTCCTTGTCTGTTTGGGTGTTGGGGGTAGGGGCAAAAGGAGGTTGTTTTTGTTTGGGTGTTGGGGGTAGGGGCAAAAGGAGGTTGTTTTAAGTTTCAGTGTAAGGAGAGCTTAGTTCACAGCTGTGCCCTGTCCTTTTAACTGTCTTGCTTTGCTTTTGCTAGGAGGAAAGTCCAGGGCTCTGATTACATGCCACATGATTTAGAAAGGAGAAAAAGGAAGGAGGTGTTTCTGTATGTTGAATTCAAGCACTGTGTTAATAGAGGAAGGGAATGATGGCCACAGTGCAGGGTTACAAGTGGTTAACAAGGCATAGACATTACATATGACCCAGTTATACCACTGCTTAGAATATACCCAGAGAGAAGGAGAACTGAGGCACAAACGGAGACTTATACAGCAATGTTCATTGCAGCTTTATTCACCATCACAAGAACATGAAAACGGCCCAAATGTCCAACCACAATCAAATGGCTTGACACACTATGGTACATTCACTCAATGGAATACTACACAACACAGAAGCAATGATTTTGTAAATCACTACTTGTATTATACTGAGTAAACTAACTTGGTCCCATAAGGATAAATTCTGTGTAAAACCGTTATTAAAGAATGAGTATCAGGTTCCAAGGTGGGGAGCAGAGAGCTTAAGGGGTGAGGATGGGCGAGGGGTGGAGGATGGTTCATCAGAGACTCGCACAATTTGTTGGGGGGGGCAGTGTGTGAGGGAAATGGGAAGGCTCTGGTGTGAAAAACAATGTGTAAGAACTTTATAAATAAACCGGTATTAAAAAACAAAAGATGTGTAAAATACAGTGAACATGTATGAAACAAGGTATATGTATGCAAACTATAAAAATATGTTTTAGAAAAGGAACAAAGTTTTCTACAAGGATAGATTAGATTTTGTGTTGAATTTAAAGAATAGAGACAAATTTATTTGACTTGAGGTTGTGAAATCTCATAGAAAATTTCTCATTTTGATGCTTTCCCTTTTTCAACAGAAATGACACCAAAGAAGATGTATTTGTGCATCAGGTAAGAGGAATAATCACTGTTATTTTTGTCATGTGGAAAAAAAACCCTTCCTTTGTCCTTTTACCAGAATGAAGGCCTGTAAATGATCACCCCGCTCTAAACTCTTTTTGGTGTGTGTGATTTTTATTTTGGGAACATAGCTCAATTCCACGTTTTAGGGTTGGCATCTCTCCCATCACACTAACTGCTTTCAAATGAAGTTTATTTTTGCAGTCAGTGAAGTAATACATAGAGTACATTCTAATATTTAAAGCCTTTAACAGAAGCTTTCTGTGTCCACCTTAGCATCCAGTTCTTTTGACTTTGTGGTCCATCCTTAGTGTTTGGCTGGAAACTCTGTGGTTTTTGCCTGGGTGGTTATTGGTCATTGTTATTTTTGTTAGCTGCCTTTGAGTCAGCCTTTAGCTCATGACAGCAGGCCCTGCACCATCTCCATGGTCATTTGGAGACAGGACCATGTCATCCATAGAGTTCTCCTTGATTGATTTTTATTTTTAGGGGTAGAGTGGGTGGGTGTTTGCTTTTATTCTAATTCATCTTAGTCCAGAAATTCCATGTTCAGTATTGTAACATTTAGAAGCTTGCACTGGCCGACAGGTAATGCTTGTACATGCGGTGCATAAGCTAGAAATGAGACTTGAATCTTACAAAGAAGGTAAGAATTTTACCACTGAACTTTCATCACCCTTGAATGTTGGCTAAATCTTCTCTATTACAAGCTTTATGATAAGCTCATGGTTAAGGAGTACATACCCAAGATACGCAAAAGTGCAAATTTGGAAGATAATCCTCCTGTTAAAATGAGGCAGCCTTAGTATAGATCTTGTACAGAAGACTCCATTCCCTTAGATCTGAAGGAAATAAAGGATGAATGAGATATGGAAACTATAGGTTTCTCTGCTTTAGTTACCTTATTCTTTGTTTACATTGTTTAATTAGCCTAGGCTGATGTTTATTCTGTTACATATCCTGGGCTGGGTTAAGGAGATATGGTGACTATATGTGAATATGTGAAGGGTGACCTTTCACACACACCAGTTCCTGTGTAGAAGAAACACAGGGCAATCTTAAAGTTTTATAGTCTAGGAAACCATATGGGGCATTTGTATTCTGTGCTGTAGGAGAGTCAACTACGACTCACAGCAACTCTTATGAACAGATCTGAATCTTGCCCTATCGTGCACCATCTTTCTCTGCATTGCTCAAGGACATTGTTACGTTCACTGTCAATTTTTAGAGTCTTCCTAAAAGAGAATCGACTCTGTGGAAACCCAGTTTTATCCTTTGTATTTAGTAAATATCCTTTCTATTTTATATTTGTCAAATGATCTGAAATGTGTGTGGTGTTCTCAGCATGTCACAATGGAAGACAGTGCTTTCATTGACACGGCCCCATCAAGCATCTGGTTCCCTAATGTTTTTGTGTCCTGTTTTCTATGTGTCTTGAGATGGTGACATCTAAGCTTGGATTCTGTCATATAGTTTCCATTGTTTACATTTCTGCTTGACTGGGCATATTTCAGTTGTACTGAATTTGAATAGTTTCTTTTCTCCAGATAGTGGCATTTAAAAAGTCATAGCATATTGAAAAAAGTGTTGGTTCTGATACTTAGAGGTAAAGAAAATATTTTTTGAGGGATATCTCTGATTTGGAGACTGCTAGAGTAAAGGACCTCCAGAGTGTCTGTTCTGGTGGCCACCTCTGTTAGTTGTGAGTATGACCTGATTCCAGCCCCATGAAGTTGTATGGTGAGTCATTCCAGTGTGTTGAGGCCTGCCCAGTTGAACAGGAAACAGAAGGAGCTGGCAGGGAGGGGCTGTTTTTGGAATGGCTGAATGTTGGTGCTGCGTGCGCACATATCCTGTCCTGAACTGCCTTTTTTCATCTGTGGGTGAGGTCTCTACCCTATTGGTTCATTTTTTTTCCCCACTCTCTCCCTCCTACTCAGAGAAGGGGAAGGGCTAGATTACACATGCTTAATCGCCTTATAAAATAAGGTTGACCTAGTTCCTCATAAACTGAGATCCCCTTTAACTATTTAGAGATAGCAGTCAAAGAAATGAAAATTTATTGCAGAAATTATTCTCTTGCTGGCATTGATGGGAAGGGATATTAAAAAAAGTATCATTAGTAGATATTTATAGGGTTGTGTTTTTTTTTCCAGATTAACTGTCATTTTTAACCTTTAAATGTATTACTGAGAAACATGATGAGTTAACATAAATTGCATTGTGAAAAAAATACTTTATAAATTTTATACATAGTACAGTGATGAATTTCTCCCTGACACAGTAGTTCCTAGGAAGCCCTGGTGATGCTGTGGGTAACCATTTGTCTAACTGAAATGTTGATGTTTCAAACCTGCTCGTTGCCTCTAGGGGAAAAGACTTGGTGTGAACTGTTACAGTGTGCTTCTGTAAGGACCGTAAAGTCTTAGCAGCTCTGGGGTATCACTGCTCTGTCTTATAGGACCTCTATGAGTCAGAATCACCTTGAGGGTACACAGAAGTGACAATGGTGATAAATTTTGAAGCATTGGATAAATCATTTAACTGTCCACTTCATGTTTTATCATTAAAAAAAAAAAATGAGAGGCAAAGGAAAAATTATCAGTGTTATGATTCCTGAAGTTATTTTGTATACTCGTAACAAGTAGTTATACCATTGACATTCTTATGTTTTCATCACATTCCCCATACACATCACCTAATATCTTGTGTGGTTAGCCGTTTCTCTACAGAAGCCTCTGTGCCTAACATGTTTGTGTGCGATGTCACCCCACCCCTGCCTATGAATCTGCCTTCTGAATCTCAAGCTTAATGGTTTGAAGTAGCATATATGTTCAGTATCTTGATTAGGTAATCAGTTATAAAGAACTGTAATTACATACTTTGTATATTCTACCTACCAAGGTGAATTTTAAGGAATAGTATGAATCAAGAAAGTAATGTGAAATAAAGGGTTTGGTTTTGTTACTTGAGGTTCATATTTATCAATAAAAGGCTTAAAAGCTTCTTCAAGTCACTTAGTAAACTTAAACAGTAAAATGTGTGGCTGTTAGTTAGTAACATACTTCACTTAAAATTTTCTTTACTCCTTGACAGACAGCCATCAAGAAGAACAATCCACGGAAATACCTGCGCAGTGTAGGAGATGGAGAAACTGTAGAGTTTGATGTTGTTGAAGGAGAGAAGGTGAGAGTGAAGCATGGTTTCTCAGCCCCTTATAAATTATTAAAAATTATTTTGGATTTTTATCTAAGAGTGGTTTTTTTCCCTGCAAAAATATTTTAGGTTCTTGGATGTCATAAAAATACTCTTCTGACATTTTCATGTCACTTAAAAATTAAACTTAAGTGAGAAGAAAATCTGTAACTTCAAAAATTTTAAAACATATGTTGTGTTACCAAATATATATTCTAATATAGCGGGAAACATTATTAAAAATGGATTTCGGGCAAAAGATCTGTTAATACGTTTTGGTTTTCCCCAGTTCTGGTTAAAATTGTCAGTATGTACAAATCCTATATAGTTAAAAAAAAACCAACAAAAAAACACCAACCAAAAACTGAGTCTTTTTAAATGTAAGAGTTATATTTTTTTCATTTGCTTAGATTTGGGGAAGCCTAATGCATAGTGATAGACTACATAATAATCCTCCCCTCATCAATTCCACCCAGATATCTTATCAGATGGATCATCTGAAGCCTGCCTATGGAAATATGGTTGTGCTATTGTGTTTAATCTTAAAACATGAGTATTCTTTAGGAGGCCCTAGCTTGCATTTGCTATTTGTATACATAGAATACCCTCTCACTCACATTCTACCATATTGCATATATTCTTTTTTTTTTCATATTGCATATATTCTTAAACTGTTCTTATTTAAGAAAGACATTTACTTTATTTGTTTGAATGGCACCTTTTACCATTGTGGTCCTATGTATGTCTCAAGAATCTGAGTTCTAAATCACCCTAAAAGAAATGGCTTGCTTGTTGTGATTTTTCTGATGCCCCACCTCAATCTGACACTTTTATTTTACCTGATTTTTATCTCTGAGTGTGTTTGGAACTTGAAGTTTTACAAATTGACTTAAAATAGAAATTGCCCTCTTGAATCTTACCTTATTTTAAAAAATGTATTCTGAAACAGTATCTATTTGTCCATGTAAGAATTAGAACTATATATCTGTTGCAAGACCTTAGTTGCCATGAGTCACTTTTGACTCCTACCAACTTTTAGGAAGGACTAAAAAGTAACTAGATGTACTAGAAACCCTTTGTGTTACTAAAGCAAACACTTAATTTTCATGTTGCTGCCAAGATGAGAAAAGTTTGGCTCTCAGTACTGTGCAAAACTACAGGGACCTGTGAGTAATGACTTTCTTGGTACCTCTTTGATATAGGTTTCAACTTTTTCTGAGAAGACACAGATTTAATTAAGATACATGTTCTCCCTGGCTCAGCAATGTTTCTGCTTTTACAGTTACATTCTCTAGATTATACTCTTTACAGAGTTACATACAACTCTTAAATTTATCTAATCACACAAGAAGGCAAAGCTTGAGCTGAATAAACAAACTGGAAGCTGAGTACATTTAAATTAGAATTTTAAGCACTTTGCTTTTAAACTCTGTGTGCTTTGGAGGTCATGGCAAGAGTTCTTTTGTATGTCCTCCTTGTCTTACACTCAGTTTAATAAGACTTCTGATTTGTTATTTTCTTTTTAAATTTTTTTTTTTTTAATTCTTGGTTGTTCTTTCTCAGGGTGCAGAAGCAGCCAATGTGACTGGTCCAGATGGAGTTCCTGTAGAAGGGAGCCGGTATGCTGCTGACCGCCGCCGTTACAGACGGGGCTACTATGGCAGACGCCGCGGACCTCCTCGCAATGTATGTTGTCACAGTGATTGACAGTTTTCTGCTTCCAGAATTAAACTCACTTGAAGCTGATAAAAATTTTACTATTTAAGGGGAAATTTTCAGTGCTCTGAGTTTATACATAGCCACTGGTCTTTCTACTTTGGAACTTTGCCTTTCAAAAGTTTTATCACTCAAAATGTGTATGGCTACAAGTAAGACATTTAATTACTTGTAACAAGAAGGTTTAATGAAGATCAGCTGTGCCAGGGTAGTCAAAAAGACTCTTTGCCTGGCACTTTTATCTGGCCGGAATCTAGTCATGTGGTAGTCACTGGCAGAGGCGAATGGAATTTCTGTGATTGGCTGAAACTTATCATTCATCCCCTGGGGCTGGCACCATTGACCTCTATGAAAACCAGTGTTTCTTTGAAAAGGAAGAAAATGGAATCACTCTTGGGGAGGCGGTAGTCAGAGCTGACCATTAAAGTATTAAATAATTCATCTTGATTAAACAGCTATTTTACTTAACATGAATTAGCACCCTTGCTCTTTGGAAGGAAAGAAGCAGTACATCTCTGGAATTACTTGTTCTGAATCTAGGTGAAAAGATCTGTAAATAAGACTCACTGGTTTGTCCGTGTTGTTGTGTATCATTAAGTTGAAACCAACCCATAGCTGACCCTCCAGAGTGTTTTCAGAGCCAGTTAATTGAACAAGAGAAGATGGCCTGGCTTTCTCCTGCAGAGCAGCTGGTGGATTCAAATCACATGACTTAAGGATTACAGCACAGCTTCTTACAAGTAGGCCACCAGGCCACCAGAGCTCGCTGGGTTGTCCCATGGTACCCAAAATGATAACAAATCCCTCTCAGATTTGAATCACATATTGCTATTTGTGGAATTAGTGTCTGGTGTCATTGGTATTGGAGAATAAGACAATACTTGGTGATCACAGATTTGAAAAATATCTCACTAGAAAAAATATGTGCACATTGACTTGGCTATATATTTTGATAGTCATGTTTTTCTGCTAATTTTTCTTTATTTTGTTACCTTTATACCTTGGCCCACATTGCTTTTTAATAGATTCTTCAAGCTAATTCGCTTGCCCTGCTTCCATCATTTTCTTACCCTAGTTTTGCCTGAGCCATTTTGATTCCAGAAAAGAATCTTGGTGGCACAGTGTTTCAGCACTCAACTGCTAATCAAGAGATGTGCAGTTTGAACCCACCAACCATTCTATAGGGGAAAAGACTTGGCAATCTACTACTACAAAGATTTCAGCTTATAAAACCTCATGGAGCAGTTCTACTCTGTCCAGTAGGATTGTTATGAGTTGGAATTGACACAGTAACAACAATTTTGGCTTTTGGGTTTTGTTTTTTTTTTACTATAAGTTATTGAGGGTAGAAGTAGGCATGAACAACCATATTGTAGCATTAACTATTTCAAGTTCATTAGGTTGACAGCACACTGGCTGTGGTGTGTTTTGTTTTGCTTTTTTTTTGGATTCTAGGTTAAGGCAGAAGTGAAAAATGGGGAAAAACTTTAGTGAAAATTTTCCCTTTAAAGTCTCCTTTTCCCCTCTTAAAGACCTGGAAATTCTAAAGTTAGATTTGTAAAAGTTAGAAATAAACCTGCCATTAACCAGAAATTACATTTAAAATAATCTTTTAAGTCTTTGTGGTTTGTCTTTAAAGAGCATGTAATGTACTCAAAGGGATGGTAGTATATTATTATTGGTACTTACTATTTTCTAAAACTCATAGAAAAGCTTAAGGAAAAAATTTATACACTGAATATTTTAGTGAATGTTACTTATACAAAATGTCTTTACTTAATTGAGGGCCATAACTCAATAATAGAGGGTATATTGAAGAGTGAAATGATTTGACTATATAAACATGCTGCAATTTGTTTTGTCCTCAATGAGTGGTAAATATTAGTAGACACACTTGACAGAGCTGAATATTCTAAACCCTGTACATGTACTTGGGTAGTTAATAAGCTGTTATTGTTACCAGTTCGAATAGATGAGTACTAAATTTATAATAGATGGGATTGCTCTTGCTTTTCTGCTTCTTGGTATTTTGTCTGCATAGATCTGTTGACTTTGATCTTAATGTAGTTTATCCCAGGTAATCAGTCCCATGATCATCTGGGTTAAATGCATTTTGGTTAATAAAGAGGATTATTCCTTTTGGGAAAGGTTTTTTGGTGGGGTCCCCCCCCCCTTTGGTGATAGTCATCTTAATTGGTATTCTTTGGTTCTTCTCTTGCTGAAACTTCTTCTGAATCTCTGTTTCTTTGCTTCGCTAGTACGCTGGGGAGGAGGAGGAGGAAGGGAGCGGCAGCAGTGAAGGATTTGACCCCCCTGCCACTGACGGGCAGTTCTTTGGGGCCCGAAGTCAGCTGCGCCGTCCCCAGTATCGCCCTCAGTACCGGCAGCGGCGGTTCCCGCCTTACCACGTGGGACAGACCTTTGACCGTCGCTCTCGGGTCTTTCCCCAGCCCAACAGAATGCAGGTAAAATTGCACCTGAGACTTCTCTTCAGCAGTCCTCACCCCTCGTCCTTCCTCTGCCTCCTCTTCCTCCTCCTCCTCCACCACCAGCTGCTGGAAATAAAGCCTTGCTTGTGGCTTCCCGAGGCTGCAAAGTTGAGGCAAGGCTTTTAGTCTCCTTTTTTCAGAGAAATCAAATCATTCCACTAACATATTTCTAAACGATCTAACCACATGAGTCAGGCCAACAGGAGTGGTCAGTTAGACTAACATCCTAGTTTGTGAAAGAATGGAAATTATAAAGTGAGGAGATAAAATTTTGTTAGACTCTGAAGTCAGATATGCCTGGATTTGAATCCTGTTTCTGCCGCTTATTTCTGTGAGATCTTGGGAAAACCAAACTTTAGTATTTGTCCATACATTAAATGGTTATAACAGTATCTGCACCATAGTATGTATATGTATATGTATGTATGTGTGTGTGTGTATATATATATATATATATATATATA